TCATCATCAGGATCAGCCATCTCCCATTTGCACACAGATATAGAAGTAGCACACGGTGCTGACTGTACTCACTCACCGTTCGGTTCGTGCGAGATTCCATTCTCGCCCCCGACAGATAAAAAATTAACGGACTCTCACATGGGTTCCTCATAACAGGCCTCGTATTGAAAGCGTACGCCTTGTAATCGGCTTTCTTGTACCAATTCAAGAAAGTTCTAGAAGGCGTCTCCATCTCTCGGGGGGACAAAACCCCCCTAAATATTTGGACAGCGAATCCCCAAGAAACGGAGATTGACCAACCGTTGACTTTGTCGTAGCAAATGGACTGCTGCATTAGAGCTGCCGAATCGAGCTGCATCGGGATTTTGAGGCGTTTTAGTGCTTGTGTCCGAGTGACGTTCGGGAAAATGGGGTCCACCACGTCGAGGTGGTGGAGAGAGACCAATGGCGTGATCGGGTGTGCGGCTAAGAGCCCGAATAAGTCCCCGTGTACGTCGTACTGAAAGAATATTCCGTCCAATCAAGAATTTTAAGACTGTTAGAATTCGGTTTAACACCTTCTCAAGATTACAATGATGAAGCATCATTAAAAAGAAAACTTAAGCATGCCAATTAGTCATCTACTAGTAGGAATTTACTATTTTACCCTTACTAATCGAACTCTATCAAACATCAATTATCTTCCGGTAAATGTTGTTTTAGTCTTTTTTACGCTTGTTTCCTACAATTCAACCATATTTAAACATTCTTCATATGTGCATAAAGGCCGTAAACGACCGATAGTATGGAACGCAAACCGAGTACATGAATAATATCACACCCAATACATGGTTGTATAATCATGAATCCCAAACATAACATAATCACATCCAATCCAATCAATCAATCAATCTTATCAATCCCATCAACAATCCCGAATGGAACTACTAATTTTACGAACTCACCTGGTGAAAGCCGAGTTCTTTAGTGAGTGGAACACCGAGTTCAGACATACAAGCCTGCATTCGATCGTCGGAGCCATACAATCCAGGGTACCTCTGTATACATTTATCCTGCATTCTCTCAATCTGCTTCGCCAAAGGATAACTCACCGCAAAACCACCGCCCCCGTAAGCCATCCCGTATGAAAAATATATGTTCTGCAAATGGCTCTCGCTCGAACTCCCGATATAGTAATACCCGTTATGGTCGTACTTGTTCAAAACCCTCACCAAATTTTCCGTCACGAAAACCGTGTCGTCGTCCCCCATTACTAACCACCTCACATTATCATCATTATCATCGATTAACCTTAAAGTTTCGGAAATAATCCGAGAGATTCGGATTGCGGAGCGGTGGCCCTTCTTGTTCGTGTAAGAGAAGCGGGAGGTGTCGCCGGAGATTCTCACCGGCGGGAGGCTCCGGCGGTCGTTCCGGTGGGTTTCGACTGGGGTGTCGAGCCATACGATTGCTCGCATTTTGTCTTCGGGTTTGTACCACAGCTTGATGTACTCTTTCCTCCTTCCCCAGAGCTTGGCAGAAGCTGCAATGCCGAATACGATGTGCTGTAACCCTGTTTTTTGGTTTTCTGGCGGAGATTGTTGTTGTCGGAAAGTGGTGAATTGGGTTGTGGTGTTTGATTTTCCGACAAGGGGGAAATGTCGGCGGGCGGCGAAGATGTCTGTATCGCAATTGGCGGTGTGGGTAGAGGAGAGGAGCTTGATTGTGTAGATGAGATAAGTGGCGGAGATGAGTAGAATCAGCCATACCATCGGCTTCGGGGAGGGTTTACTCGGCGGCGCCGCCGTGGAAATGGGCGGCGGCGCGGTAGGGTACCGAGTGGTCGAATCCCAGATGAATTTTACTGGGTTGTTTTGAGATGTTTTCATTTCTTCGGTATCTTCACCTGATTAAATCGAAGAAAACCCAGATAAATTTAGAAATGAATTAATTGCAGCAAAAAAAAAAAAAGGATCTTTGATTTATCGGTGAAGATGAAGAAGGGCAAAAAACAGAGAGAGAGAGAGGCAAAGCATGCACAGGTGGCAGATTCTCTCTCTCCTCTCTCTTAGTGTAGTTGTTAGTAACAATACTGTATGTATACAGTATACGTATAGGAGTTGTGTAGACGGAGATAGATATAGAAGTTATGTACGTATAGGAATTAGGTGGGTGGGGTGGGTGGGGTGGGGTGTGGGAATATCTACTGCTGTGAGTTGAAGATACCTTAAATTGCAACAGCGTGAGTAGCGTAGGTAACCAAATTTTGACTCATTTCATATGTGCCCTAATTCTTCCCCAATTAGGGGTTTTTTTTTGTAGGGTTGAAAACATGGAATGTGATTTTCGATTTCGGCTTAATTTCACTTGCACCCTCAAAATATACCATTTTATCATTTTGCATCCTCAAACTATACCATTTTAGCATTTTGTACTCTTGAAAATAACTTACGGCACTTTGCATCCTCAAAATATGTTTAATTACTCAAAGTGCACCATAGTCTATCTTCTGGACATAATTTTATGTCGTTTACTTATTTTCTGATCGTCAACATGGTCATTTTCGTCTATTCAATTGATTTTTTCTTCAATGTGCAAACTGCTAATGTATTTTTGAGCAAAAATGACTTTGTTGACTATTAGATATTAGGTAAACAACGGAAATTATGGCTTAAAAATAAGCTAGGGTGCAATTTGAACGATTAAACATGTTTGAGGGTGCAAAGTGCCATAAATTATTTTTGAGGGTGCAAAGTGAAATTAAGCCTTCGATTTCCCACCGAATTCGATCCGAAAATTTTCAACAAAATTTTGGAAATCTAAATTTTCAATTTCCCTCCGCATGTTTCAGATTAAAATTATATAAGATTTTAATTTTTGGTCCGATTTTGATATAAAAAAATATTTCTAAAAATTACCCTAATAATATCAATATTTTTTAGTATTTTATATTTTAGGTGACTAAAAAATTGGAACTTTTCTGATTCCGCTAATTTGGAGCCGGAACTTTTCGAATTTGTGATGCATTTTTCATTTCAATTTTTGAAATTCCAATTTACTTTTTTGTTTTTTCAGAATGGAATTGTATTGAGATTTTTATTTTAAAAATTGTAATTTTTTTTAAAATGGCTAATTACCATTCTATCCGTCTAATTTTCAACCCGAGTTCTATTTCTTTTAAAAGAATTTATAAACATCACTGTAAATAAATCACGTGTAACAAACTCAATCCAGTAATCATTAGACAAACAAATTTGAATTCAGACCAATTGATTAGGTGTTCTCTTTCTTCATCAATTAGATCATCATGTAAGTCAACATGAAGGAAAGAAATATGTATGAAAAGTAAAACAAATAAATGAGGCCCCTATCATGCCCCTTATATTATTTAATTATATCAAATAAATTGATATAATTACAAAGCTTTCAATAACATTTAAAGATTAACTAATTAATCAAATAATAATATCGAAAAGCATAAAATATATTAAAATTTCACCATGTTTAAATATTCAACATATAAATAGTATAACTGATCATTAACGAACAACGAAGTGAATATAATCGGCCGACACCCACAATTAATCCTTGACTTACGGACTCGTCGAGGAGCCCGACGACGTTCTATTTCCGTGCTACCGTATTCGACGGCAATATAAACTATTGCACCATAACATGCAACTTACCATCCATTTCTTCTACATTCAATATCTTGTAATGGCACCCAAAAAATTCATCATTTTCCGTCAAGAAGACTTCTTGTACGAACTCAATTGGGATGAAAAAATAGACAATACTGTCATCCAAGTGTTGGCATACGAAGCACGTGTAGGTAAATTTGTTGCCGAAAAATAAAACAAAGAATCACCTTGTGGCTCAAAGTCTTACTGGAAAAAAACACGGGTATTTGTTTTTCAACAATATACATTTAGAAGAAGTTGTGGATTCTCAACACGGGTATATACATTTAAAAAAACGAGGCACACCGCATTTGGTTAGATGCTACCGCAACTAGGCGAACACATACGAATATGGTCTATAGTTCTTCCCAATTGCTATCCCCGTAAGTCCGATATGCAAATGCGAAGGTGTGTTCCTATATATTTCAAAAAGAAATGAGTAATTGCATATAACTAAACTTCGTGATTCAAAACATAATATGATAATGTGCAAAAACTATACCTTTAAAAAAGCTTTCCACACCAAATCCGAAGCAATTACGACATTGCTTGATTCATCGTATGTGACGCCTAGTTGCGATATCATCCAACCGAATGTGGCGGTGCCTCGTTTTGAGAATCCCCAACTTCTTCAAAATGTATTTTCTTGAAAAAAAATCCCCGTATTTTCTTCCACTAACACTTCGAGCCGAAAGGAGTGATTCTTTGTTTTCTTTGCCGACAATAAATTTACCTACACGTACTTCGTAAGCCAATACTTGGATGAAAGTATTGACGATTTTTTCATCTCAATTGAGTTCGTAGAGAGAGTCTTCTTGACGGAAAATGATGGATTTTTTGGTTGCCATTACAGCAGATCGAAGGTAGAAGAAATGGATGGTAAGTTAAATGTTATTGGTGCAATAGTTTATATAGACAGAAAATGCAGCAAAAAAAACTTTATATCTTTCGAGTAGTATAATGATTATTAAGTTGAATTATTGCATTTTGGCGTGGGAATACCTATCCATCACTTGTGCCATAGTATTGTCTCCATTATTTGATGTGTTCGATTGACACATGAGAAAAAGTTTTTAAATAAAGTGCAAAGTTACTGCTACAATTTTTCCTCATGTTTTCTTGAAAAGACCAAATAATATCTTGGTTCACCTTTCAATTCAAAAACATATCATAAATATTAGGGCAAATTACCAAACCCTCCTGAGGTAAGTCTGAATAACGGAAATTCCCCCCACGTTCTCGTAATTACAAAAACCCCCCTGAGGTATGCAGACATCTTACAAATTGCTCTAACGGTGTTAAACTCGATATAATCTTTTTTATTCTCCCGAATATTCCTCTGATAATACCAATTTTGCCCTTTCGCCGGTCGCTTCGATATTCCTATCCCGCATCACCAACAAATGCTCGGAAATCAACGGCCCGGAAATCCAGCCGACCCCAATCACTTCACAACTTCAGGAAGAAACCCGACCCGGAATTGGAGGATCCGAATCAACCAAACCGAGCTTGTTTCACAGGCCTCCACAGTCCTCCTGCAACGACACTCCAAATTATGGGCTCCGCTTCTCAAACCCCTCAAGTTTTCCTCCAATTTTACTCCTTCCCTCTTTCACTAAATCTTGAACAGAATCGAAACCCACCCCAAAATATGTTTTAGTTTCTTCAATTGGGCTCAGAATACCCTCGATTTCAAGCCTGATATCGGCGACCGGTGCCGGATTATCCGGATACTGTTAGGGTCGGAGCTTTCTGTACTTGGAAACCCCATCTTAGATTCAATTGTTCAAGATTACCCACCTGGCAAGATTTTCCCTCTATTGATTCAATCCCGCAAAGCTGTTGATTCTCAGAATATTTCCCCGGTTATGAACTCCGTTGTCGAATGTTATTGCAGCAAACAAATGTATTTGCAAAGTTTGGAGGTTTGAAATCGAGGGTATAACAGAAGGATATAATAGACATTTCAAGTTTTCGGTTAAAAAAATTCGGTCAACCGTTAGTCAAGGGGGGTTTTCGTAATTACGAGAAAGTGGGGGGGGGGGGGGGGGGGGATTTTCGTTATTTAGGCTTACCTCAGGGGGTTTTGGTAATTTGCCCTAAATATTAATGCAAGGCTACATTACTTTGATAAAATTTTGTTAAACTTATTCGACTCAAATATTTTTTTTTTCTAAAATATTATTATAACATTTACAAATTAATTTTTCAAATAAAAATAATAATATAAAATTATGTATTAAATAAACTAAATGATTTTTTTTTATGTTGATATGATATTTTAATGAAACATGTTTGTGAAAGTTTTAATTTTTTGTCTCAATAAAGGTTATAAAAGAAATATAATTTTTTATATATATAAAAGAAATGTAATTTATTATTGAGATAATAAGAATATTTAGGTACTTTTATATACATATAATTATAAATAGATAATATTTTTTTTTTACAATTATTATGATAATTATATTTTAACTAATTATTAATTTTTATTACAAGAATATGCTGTAATGATAAAATATAAATGTTATTAGTATTTATGTAATATAATAAAGTATTTGAGGGTAATTTTGTATTTTGAGTGTTTTAGCAAAGAAGCAAATAAGACCTTAAAGAAAAAAGGTGGGGATAGGTACGGGAAAATTACATATTATGTCCCTAAACTTTACCACTAAAACGATTTATGTCCTCCAATATTTCAATCTACGAAATATGTCCACGAACTTGCCACATTTAATCAATTTATGTTCTCCCGTTACGTCGTCAGCCACCTTCAATGGAAATAGCATATGTGGCTCACGAGACATCTATCTGGCCGTTAAACGTGGCGTGGAAATGGAATAATATATGGCATTGAAATGTTGACATGGCAAGCGAATGTACTAATTTCCCCTCACTCTTCCCAAATCACAATTCATGCTTCATCCCATAAACCCTAGCCATCCATTTCCAAAATATCTTTTTGTCTCCTCAATACACTCCCAAATTTCCAATCTAATCTGCATTCTTGGTCGAACCCATGTCAAACTCGAAGTTATAAACCTATAAAAAAATCCAGACATTCTCACATTGCAAGAGTTCTTCCCTTATGAGACGCCGCGTTTCTTTGGGTGACATCAACACTACCACAAACCTCCCAAAATCCCAAAATCGAAGTTGAAATATATTATCTTTGAAAAGCTTACCCAAAATCAGAAATTGTTGCTTGATTATGATGTCACAGGTCCACAAATGTTCAAAACTCTGCGAAATTAGGGTTGGGCTATCTTGCTGTTGCATAATTTCACCTTAATGTTAAGCTTCACATAGGTAATTTGGGGGTAGGTTTCTGCGTTTTGGTTCAATAAATTTTGGGGTAATGAAATGTGAATGTTGGTGAGATTGAAATAGAGGAAGAGAGTTACATGTCACTCCACGTCTTATTATTTCGCCATATCGACGTAAGTAGTTATTCCACGTCACATTTAACGACAAGATAAACGTCACATGAGCCACACGGGCTATTTACGTTGAAGTTGGCTGACGTCGTTAACGACAGAACATAAATTGATCAAAAGTGGCAAGTTCGAGGACATATTTCGTGGATTGAAATATTTGAGGACATAAATCGTTTTATTAGTAAAATTTAGGGACATCAAATGTAATTTTCCCGAATAGGTACTTTTTTTAAAAACATCTTATAAGCTCCCTATAACAACTTATGTTTGAAAAAATAAGATCTTTTGTAATTTTTTTAACAAAGGCCTTTTAACACCTTATAAGCTCTTAAACATCTTATAAGATGTTATTAGGTGATTATAAGCTTAGCCAAACAGGCTCTAAATCCATTTAGAGGAAGAAATAAAAAATCTACTAAAATATAAGATAACACTACTAAAATTTATACTTATTTATTAAAAAAATCTATAAATAATTACTTATTTTAGCCACTGAGTAAATATTTCTAAAACCTACGGGACATTGCCTTGAGCCCTCAATATTTATTTTCGAGAAAAATAATCAACTATATATAATGTTCTCCAATCTCATTATTTTTCACCCACATTATATTGTAATATTTTCGAGAAAAATCGCCGACTATATATAATGTTCTAGATCCGCTCCTGCTTAACTCAATAATGATGTTGGAGCTTTGTTTATTTGAAAGGGCACTTTGCTGAAATGGCTCTGCATGTTTAGAGGACAATTGTGAATTTTGCTATAATACTATATGTTGCTGGTAAAGTAGTACAAGCCTGGAGTACAACATCCACATTCATCATCCGACAACTGCATTTTTTTTATTTTTTTATTCCTATGAATATGCTACGTCACTGTTAAATGAATTTGGTATAACTCAATTCCTAGAAGCTAGCTTAAAAAGATATATACGTTCCACATATAAACTAGTATATGCGCATATTACCAATTTGCGATGTCGGTACAACAAATAAAACTTGGCCCCACGTATGTCTGCAGTGGGTCGTCATTGCTTACAAACCCGATCAGGTACCATGTTATATAGGTTTGCAAGAACTCATCTCATGGGTACAACTAGTGGTCGAGATTGAAACAACATTTCTGATTTAGGCAGATTTTGATATGAGATTTCAGATTTTGTAACAATATTTTTCATTCCGGACTCCGAAAATTTTGATTTCGGTTCCACTTCCAAGTTTTTTTGAATCGGAATTCGAATATACGAGATTCAAATTTCCCATTCGATTTTATTTTTCAAAACTAATTTCGAAAGTTACGTTCCAATTTTCTTACCAACATTACACTTATAATATCAATATTACAAGTATTTTATATTTGAAGTGACTAAAAAATTGAAATTTTGATCAAAAAAATTTCAGATCTTGGCCGGAACGAGTTTGCTCGTTCCAACTTCCAAAAATCCACTTTTCGATTTTTCCATTTTCCCGGAACGGGAATGGGATTAGTTCTTAACTTTCGAAAAAATGGAATTATTTTCCGAAAGTGCTACTTCGGTCAGATTTGTCCGATTTCCACTCCTAGGTACAATCAATAACAACCGGAACCTTAATTTGTTCAATTAACTCTAAAGTAAAAGGACAGATTGTACAATTATAGGAGAGGTTGATCTAGCAAGAAATCTTGAATATATGTAACATTAATTTGACATTGGGATGGGAGGGTAGCATGCCAGCTGGACGAAGATTCCCAGCATGTGGCAAGTTGAATTGTTTGCCGGGGTGCAATAGATTATATTGTCAAGATGCAAACATTTTAAACACGTGTGGTTTGTAAAGAAAACTCTCATCATGGAATCCTAGGGTAGATTTTGAATGATACAAAGGTAATATCACTACAACATTTATGGCTTTATGCGACGGACAAAAACTGTCGGAAATAGTAGAAAAACCGTCGGGAACATTATGCTTGACGGTTTTGAACCGTCACAAAACCGTCAAGAAAAAGGCCGTCGTATATACTCCTACGTGTAAAAATACCGTCAGGAAAAAACTTTAACGACGCTTTAAGAACCATCGTAAATACTCATACATATTTTGAAAACCGTCAAGAATACATTATCCACCGTTGACAACCGTCGGGAAAACTGGTACATTTTTTTCAATATTTTGTTCGAATTAATAATGGAACCTATACAACAATTTAACCAAATGACAAATATTAATATATTTTCCCAACACAAATATAACAGATGCCAAATACAAACACAAATATTAACAAACTTTATGAAATCTATCTTCAAAACATGAATTCTTGCTTTCCAAAAGTATACCAAACTTTACAAACTATATCTTCAAAACAACACTTGAACTTGAAGTATTAATACTTCTAACAAAAACAACAAATTAAAAACAAATAACTTTGAAATTAATTACATTTGGCTGATTAGTGGCATGCATATCCTTGCTCCGATGACCATATAGTGTCTTCCTGAACAATTAAAAAAACATGTCATTTCTTAATGATTCAATTGTCTACGTGTTATTGTCATTTGGATAACTAAAAAACATCAAATTGTATTATAACTACTACCTTAATGGTCTGCAGTGATACTTCAACTTCACATCAACCATCAACTTTTCCAAATACTCCTTACAATCCTTGAAAATAATTATCCAAATTGATAATCATCAGACCACATCATATATAATATAAGATATTAAAAAAAAAAGAAAATACAAATAAGGTGAAATATGTTTGAGAAAATTTACCCATAAAGTTTTCTCTTTTTAAGTTTGACCTTGTTTGCACCTGATTGTTGAATTCGCGCATCAGTTTCTTGGACTTGAGGCTTGCTAGACTAATTGTTTAATCTTTCCCTACAAATGATATAAATAGTTAGAAGGTTATTGAAAACAAAGATTATCAAAATATAAATAATAAATAACACGCAATAAATTTAGAAGTCTTCTTATCCAATGTGCTCTTGGCAAAACCAACATGTGTCGCCATCCAAAAGTCTTAGTCTGTAGGATCCTCACCGTTTTCCATTTGCATCTGAAAAGCGATTTAAAAAATTAAACAACACAATCTCTTTGCTTCAGCAAATATGCACCATTATAGATGAAACAACTCAATTCATTTTAGAGCTAAACATTAGCTAATCTTAGTGATGAAGAGTGAGAAGTTAGTCCACCTCATTCCTCACGACAGCATAACTCTTTTTTTCCAGTTCTATGTGGCACTTTTTGGTTACCTCTGTTCGAAGCATTTTTTAGACTCATTTCCTACATAGAAAATAAGCAAATTACATTAAGTAAGTTCAATACAATTTTCAATTATAATTCCAAAAATATAAAAGGAAAACATATACAATTATCGAACCTTTACACTACTAGAACTCCAATAATGAACTAAAGTAGGTCGTTGGTCTTTTTCCACAAGGTCAGGACAATTAGCCAATCGATCCACATCCGTCTCATGCATAGAATAATAAGATGTTTTTACCTCCGATTTCCAATTCTTCCACATTACGCTCAACTTCTTTAAGAACTGATGTTTAAAGTTATCTTCAAGCGAGAAGTTTGCCTATAATCAAATATTAAAAAACAAATAAGGTGTTGATGACTAACCAAAGAGAGAATGTAAGATAATGTACCGAGAGTAGAAAGATTACCTTATAAAATATTTGAAAGTTATAAAATATTGAAATTTTTGTGAAAAATATAACATTATAACTAAAATAAGTAATATTTTTACCAGGTGGCGTTGATGAAGCCTCATTTGCGTCACTATCAGACTCCATAAATTCAGCATTACCATTAAGTGGAATATGAAAATGAGATGATGATGGCCTTTCTTGCGAGCCCGAAATCCGAAAGTTTCGCACGAAACTTCTGCAGAGATTCAAGAATGTCACTAACTACACGAATCAAACTCACTAATGACACACTATATTCAAAAAATGTAAGTACTGTTAAACGTACCGAATCAATTAGAATATTGGAAGCCTTTAAATCGCGGTAAATTATGTTGGCATTTAAACTATGCAAGAACGTCAATCCTCTCACAAAATCAATCGCTATCTGCATTCTCGTACACCACGCCATCGGCTGTACTCCTCCTGTACAGACGAAAGCAAATCAATTCCTATTTCCACACCACTTTTCGATTTTTCGATATTTCGATCTCAAAAAAAAAAAACATACTCTTGAACAAGTGATTCTCCAAGATTCCTTTAGGCATGAATTCGTAAACAAGCATTATGTTTTTAGATTCCGAACAATACTCGATCAGCTTAACCAAGTTCTCGTGTTGAAGCTGACCTAAGCATTTAACCGCAGTCTGCAAAATTCGACAAATACAAAAAAATAAGCTACATTCTCCATCTACCTGTGAGATAGATTTGCGTTGGCGCTTTCCACGATTCATAACCTGTGTGAACGAAATAGATTTCTTAAGAACATTTTTTACGAATTAGAATTCATAGCAGAAACAAAATAATCAAAATTCATGTTTTAAAGCTTATAAAATTCATGTGCAGAAAATCTAAAACCCCAAAAATCTTGAATCATCTGATGAAGACCTTATTCAGAGAATTAATCATCAAATAGGCAAAAATAATCAGCACGAAACCAAACACTTGAGTTGAAAACTAAAAAACGAAATTTTGGTAATCAGGCCAAAATTTAAGGATAAAGCGATAATGTATCGATATGAATGATGAAGTTTATAGACTAAGTTTGCTAACTCTTTTAACTCTTCCATTAGATAGAGAAAAATCTTACTCGAAATGGGTTAACTGCCTTATCTTTGATAACAATTAATAGCCTTATCCTTGACAATGGTTCTACATCAATGCTAGCTCACCTGTATGAAACTAAAAGAACCAGAGATTAGATTAAGTTCAACACGTTTTGAAAAGAAGCAATAATTCCCTTTTTTCTATTCATTAAACTCTGACATTTAGTGCACGGACACTTGATTTCATCACCTAAACTCCCATTCCTATATGCAAACTTAAGAAAGGCGTTGACACCATTTATGTACTCGGACTGGAGTCGGTTTCGAATTTTAATCCAGCTTTTATTCATGATATGCAAGTTGTAAAATAAAGTTCAGTATATATAGTGGATTTTCCACTTGATTCTCACCATTTTTCAAAACCTCGAAAGATGACTTGAGTGATTCATGATATCCTTGAGTTGATTCTGGAAAACTGTTTTAACCTCGCTGATATCGAAAAATAACTGCAAAATTTGTAATCAAAATGTTAGAAAGTGGACAATCTAACTATTAAAAAAACACAATATAAACTGATTCAATTGTGATTTATTTGGTCATATATATATATATATATATATATATATATATATATATATATATATATATATGCTTTAATTTCTACCTCTAAATATCTAATGGTTCTACAACAGTACCATATGAATAAATTAATTATAATCATATGCTGGCAGATTGTACAATTAAATATTAGCATTAGAATTAACAACTTATTTAGAGATTTATATATAATCTGACTTATTAGTATAAATTCACAAGTATTTTCACTACAGTTTTTTCTATTTTTCTGAACCATATGAATTCCATAGCTAATTTGTAGAAAACCCACAATATCAAAACCCAATCAAGCCAAAAAATAACACCAAGCGTAATTGGAAGAGATGTATATGTAATTTTGTCATACCTAATTCCAATTTATGCCTCGAATTCGTAATGGTAGCGTTAGTGGCGTGTCGGAAGCGGTTGTGCGACCATGGAAGCGGATGTGCGACGGTGGAAGCGGATGTGCGTCGGTGGAAGCGATCGTGCGTCGGTGGAAGCAATTGTGCGTCGGCGGAAGCAATTGTGCGTCGGCGGCAGCACTCTCGGCATGGTGGTAAAGGTCGCGGTGCAGTCGCAGCAATCGCGGGCAGTTGAAGCGGGACGGTGGAGGTGTTGTAGCACCGGCGGTGGTACTGCTGATAAATCCCTAATTGCGTTGTTTAGAGCTGGAGCGTAATTTTTTTTTTTTTTATGTTTTATAATATAAGATTGTGTTGTTTAATTTAAATCGTTTAATTAGCCGTTTTATAAAACATTAAACGGGTAATCTTAAGTAGCAATTTTATAAAACTTTATGTGACGCTTATAATTCGTCAAGATTGGATTAAAAAGTGTCAAGATAACCAATATATTTGACGGTTTCTATGTGTCAAGAATCTTATAAAACCGTCAAGAATACCTTTTTTTACGACGGTTATGAAACCGTCTGGTAAAAATTGCGTCGTAAAAGCCTCAAAATGTTGTAGTGTATTTGGTTGCTTTATCTGTCTAGTAACTGTTGGAAAGTGATCGTCCAACCACTATGTAACACGGAAACGGAAACGACAATATGGGAAAACGAGGAAACGGATAAGGGGAAACGGCATGTTCAAAAAATGGGGATAAGGAAATTTGGGGAAACGTGTAAATATTAAAAGCGTAGAGGTATATTTATAAATATTCTATCTAAACATATATAACTATATAAGTTTTTTTTATATATAAATTCTTTTTACATATTTTTATACCAACATATTAAAATATAACTTTTAGTTGATCATTAAATCATGTAAATAATTTGGAAAACAACAAAAATATTTTAAAAAATTGCTATTCAAACATGTTTATAACTGTTTAGAAATTGCAAAATAGCCCAAAAGGTATCCGGCATGTGTCTTCGAGTTTCCGACACACGGAAACGTTAACAAGTTGAAGTTTTCATGCTACACAGTCCAACCATATAGGTGCACTGAATAAATCTGACATTAGACTAACTATGTGTGACAAACTCGATTTAGCAACGGTTGACAAGGAAAATTCGAACTTGAGTCAACTGACACGAACTCACTTGCAACAACCATTGAATAATCCCGTGCGGGACACACTCCTATTATTGCTCAATCACATAAGATGGGGTTGGCATATAAAAAAATCATGTCCCCTAATTCAATTATACGAAAACATCTCTGCTTTGTAACAACCAAAACACTAAACAACCATAACACAAAAAATTAAAATAATTAATTTGGAAATCTGCTGCTCTAACAGAATCTTTCCATGTCTCAAAATTTTAGCTGTCATGTTCCCTCACTGCTACTAATCTCCGGCGACAAATTGCTCGTTTCTCCTACAATTATTTCCCTATATATATATACAGTCGATTTCCGCTACAATTCAATATCAGGGTTTCAAGTATATCAGCTCAATCTCTCTTACAAAAACAAGAATCAGTTCGATTTTACGTTCAAAAAAAAAATGAGGACAAAGGTAAACGACGACGCCACATCAGCATCGGCGTTCAGCAAGAATTTCAAGAGTACAAGTCCCGTTCCACAGAGAGGCCAAATCAAGATAAATATAGCAGCGAAGGCATTACAATCATTGGTCTCGATCGTTTCGCCATCTTCCTCTCCTCGGTATTCGGATTCGCCTAGGAAGAAATCTCAGTTAAAGTTATAATGTCTGAAACTCTTAGTAATATCTATATATTTTCCGTGTAACTATCAATGTAAACCAATTTTGGTTGCTTTTGGATTTGTTCATCAGCATTTCGTTCACGATAATTTATTTGCGTGAGATACATTTTATGAGTTATTTGCACGGACCCCCTGTGTAAGGTGTAATGGCTAAAAAGGTCTCATGTTAAAATAATTAGCAATTAACCTTCTATGTTGCATTTTATTTAGTTCGCCGCCCTTAGTGGAAATAAATATGTTGACTAAAACAAAGTCACTATGGTACTGTAACAACAAATTCTTATCTGCGATATAAACAAACAAGAAAAATTGAACAAAGATGATTTTATTGAATTAAAATAAATAAATTGCGGGTTACAATCTCTATTTTAATCCTCTGATTCTTCTCTCTAGAACAATATATAGTTGACTTGAATTTTCGGAGTCGGGTCGTTGACTTGATCTTCTCCGGATTTGATTTTGGATTTGAATAACGTTTTCTGAGGGTCTTGCGACTTGAATCTCGGATCGAACGTTGAACTTTGACTTGATTTGACTTGAAGATCTTGAAATTCTTGATGGATTTGGCCCTTCAATCTTCCGGTGATCTTGACTTGAATTGATTAACGTTAATCCGAAGGTTTGGCACTGTTATCTCGGATCGAACGCTAGATTTTGATGAAGACTGCCTTGAACTTGCTCAAGAACACTTTGAATGCAGACGAAGAACACTTTGAATGTAGAGAGAGAATCTTACCTCCTACGGATTCTTCTTCCTTGCTTCTTGAGTTGTAGAGAGAATTTTGCTCCTACGATTTCTGCTCCTTCAGTTGTGTTTTTGAATTGTGAAGGGAGGATCCCTATTTATAATGGTAGAATAAGAGTCCTTGATGGGCCTTACTAATGATGTGGCGCGATTTGATTGGCCCGAATTAAATTGATATTTATCTCTTGTAACTTGGCAGAGAAGAAATAATCCTATTGGTCAATATATATATATATATATATATATATTAAAATCAATTATCTATTTAAATTAGGAATTTATTTAATTCCTAATATTAAAATAAAAAACATATAATTGATATTTAATATATAATATATATGACTTTATATGCATAATTACATATTTGCCACTTGATTAAAAATCACTCGGCTCTATGGAAATTAGCAATTTAATTACTTGAAAATTTGTTCGTCTACAAATGCCCCCTCGAGACTTGTTCACGGACGATGCATCTTGAAGTGAATAAGTCACGAATAGTTTGGAGCTTTCATTTCTAAACATAATTCGGTATTCTCATAGACACGACCCTTTGCTATTTTGATTCCATGGGTCCTTTGTGAAATCAGAGTGGATTAAACTTAGACCCGATTTCTTTTTTTTTTAATGAAATCGGCCTCAAAAATAAAATCATTGAATAAACACATGTATACGCCTCTTTGTAGGGAATCATGTTTTTGTCAATATATATAAAAGCAACTGGTCCCACCCGAAACCAAATATGACGAGAGAGACTTGGAATGCAACTTTAATTGCAATTAGAAAATTTGAACAAGAACTCTTCATGCATAAGAATTCTTCATGCATAAGAATTCCCATTGGACAACAACCCCTCATGTACAATACTCCGATTCTACAAACTCCAAGTGGGGCAAAAAAACAATAGAAGAAGTTTCTCCACGTCATCTCACATATACATGCAAAAGGATTCTTTAATTCAAACATGCACTACAAATCCTTGCAATTGGATAATTCCTAATCCTAATACCATTAGGATTTGTCTTTTCGTAGCTTATAAAAGGAGGTGCCCGTGCTCTCATCTTATCATTCATCAGCCATCTAGTTTTTCTTGTTTACAGAATTTCGAGCATCCTCTTCACCTTGTCTCTTGATTTTTTTTTTTTATATATACATAAACATATATATTTTTTATTTACCCCTTTTTTTGCTGGTGCTTTCTTCGAATTCTCCATTGAATTTATTGAACCCTTCTTTTCGTCAAACTAATCGCTCTTTCTTTTGAATTGTTTTGACAGGTTTTGCGATGGTTTTACTTCAAGGGTAGATACTTGTTTTGTGGCTCTCAACAGTCGGTGATTTTCGAAGACAAGCACAGGCAGCTCAACGGCCAGGTGATTCTTGGGGACAAGCATAGGTACTTTCTCAAAAATTGGCTATTCGAGCATCAACCCGCTGATGAAGGCACACTTTTGATTATTCATGCCCTCCGCAAGCAAGTCTCTTCGTGCAAATATTTCACAGTTCGACTCCTCACCACAAGCGAGCTTCCTCTTGCGACTATTCCAAAGTTTGGCGCATCACCACAAGCGAGTTTCTTCGTTCAAATATTCCAAGGTTTAACGCCTCACCACAAGCGAGCTTCTTCTTGCGACTATCTCAAAGTTTAATGCCTCACCACAAGCGAGCGTCCTCTCGAGACTTTCCAAAGTTTGGCGTATCACCACAAGCGAGCTTCTCCGTGCAAATATTTCAAAGTTCGATGCCTCACCACAAGAGAGCTTCTGCTTGCGATTATTCCAAAGTTTGGCGCATCACCACAAGCGAGTTTCTTCGTTCAAATATTCCAAGGTTTGACGCCTCACCACAAGCGAGCTTCTTCTTGCGAATATCTCAAAGTTTGATGCCTCACCACAAGCGAGCTTCTTCTTGCGACTATCTCAAAGTTTGATGCCTCACCACAAGCGAGCGTCCTCTCGAGACTTTCCAAAGTTTGGCGTATCACGGCAAGCGAGCTTCTTCATGCAAATATTTCCGAGTTTGATGCCTTACCACAAGCGAGTTTCTTCGTTCAAATATTCCAAAGTTGGGCGCCTCACCACAAGCGAGTTTCTTCGTGCAAATATTCCAAAGTCGGGCGCCTCACCACAAGCGAGTTTCTTCGTGTAAATATTCCAAAGTTGGGTGCCTCACCACAAGCGAGCTTCTTCGTGCAAATATTCCAAAGTCGGGCGCCTTACCACAAGCGAGCTTCTTCGTGTAAATATTCCAAAGTCGGGCGCCTCACCACAAGCGAGTTTCTTCGTGCAAATGTTCCAAAGTTGGGCGCCTCACCACAAACGAGCTTCTTCATGTAAATATTCCAAAGTTGGGCGCCTCACCGCAACCGAGTTTCTTCGTGCAAATATTGCAAAGTTGGCGCCTCACCACAAGCGGTACATAGATGATTCACCACTTTTCCGGCGCAAGCTAACCATTTTGTTCGAGGCTTTCCTCTCTCATGATGTTAATTCCTTCGTCATCTTCTCATGCTTTACCGTAGGCTCGTCTGCTGACTTTTCTTCAAGGCTCTTGTTCTCTTCTCCACAGATTGATCGCTCTTCAAGGTCGTTGTCACCCTTTCTTTTGCAAGCAACTTAACCTTTCTCAAAGTGAGACAAGTTGCTTCCGTCCTTTTTCAATGCCTTCTGAGAGGTAAACACCTTTAGCTCTTTGTCATCTAGCGAGGAA